CTCCCTAAGGGTGTGAAAATTTATATCACCTAACCGAGAAATTTTGTTGAATGTACTGCACATGTGAAACATCGGCGATTTTAACATTAAATTAGTACGGGCGCTCTTACAATAAAAGGTAACAACATTCCGAGTGGCATGAAGTGGAACCGAAAATTTGATCAAAGACATCAACTCAATGCAATCCACCTTATTCGACACTATATTGTATAGAAAGGTCAGTCCGAGAACTAACCTCCGAACTTCCAAAGAAAGAAGTTCAAACCGTGCGTTGAGTAGCGAGTTCTCATACCCTTGAGGAGGGTAAACTCCATCGCACTTAAATGCGAGATATTTCAATAGTCTTCTTTGCACAGATTCAATTTCATGTTTCATATTTTTATAGTGCGGACACCAAACTATAGCACAATACTCTAGCTTAGATCTAACAAAACTGATATAAAGTAATTTTATTAACGAGATGTCCTTAAAGCTTTTTGTATTGCGAATTATAAAACCTATCATCTTCATCGCCGAGCTGGTGATATTTCGAATATGAGTGGTAAAAGATAACTGATTATCAAATGTAACACCCAAATCCACAGCAGCAATATCACGATTAAGAACAGTATCTCCACATCTGTACAAGTAAGTAATGGGTTGCAATTTTCTTGTATATGTGACCACCTTGCATTTCGATGTATTTAAATGAAGAGAGTTAGCATCACACCAATCTTGAACGATCCGTAATTGACTTTGTAAATATTCACAGTCACCAATCCCATGAATACCATAAAAAATTTTCAAATCATCGGCATAAAAGTGATGTGTACACGGTATTTTAGTTGATCGGTCATTTATAAAGAGGACGAACAGTAGTGGCCCAAGGTTAGACCCCTGGGGCACACCTGAGGATGCAGAAAACAGTTCAGAATGATAGTTGTTGAATGCCACATATTGCACTCTGTTAAGCAGGTAAGAATGTAAGAAAGATAGCATCGATTCATGAAAACCAAAGTCTCTTAGTTTGTTAATTATTATGGAATGATGAATACGGTCAAAGGCCTTGGCAAAATCCAGTATAGAATAGTATCTACTTGGCCTTGATTATCCACAACTTCAGACACATATTGTGTAAAACATGTCAGATTGGTCACAGTAGACCGATTACCCATAAAGCCATGTTGGTATCGCGAAATGTATTTATTAACCTGAGGATAAACACAAACACCTTCGCAAAATTAGACAGTATGCTGATAGGCCGATAGTTGTTAATTTGCGACAAGTCACCAGATTTTAGAACGGGACAAATGCGCGCCTTTTTCCACAAGTCAGGAAACGTATTAGTTCGTAGAGATAGGTTAAAAAGTAATAGTAATGGTTGGACCAGCACCCCTCTACAATCCTTTATCAGGAAACTTGGCACTAGATCGAGACCAGCCGTGAATTTGTTAGGTAGTTTGCTTATTGCCTGGATAACTTGCGATTCTAAAACACTACCGATGTTAATGCACGGCAAATTGTTAAATTCATTATCCTTGTTTGCACTATCATTGTAACCATCATCAGATAGGTAAACACTGCCAAAATACATAGCAAATGCGTTGACAATTTTTTCTGGAGAATCATAGCACACATCGTTATAATACATTTTGTTGGGTATCCTTGTGCAACCTTTTTTTTGACGCACGAATGACCAAAATTTGTTAATGTCAGTGTTCATGGACCTTTCAATACTGTGCACGTAATTGAGATACTCCAATTTCCGTAAAGGTACATGGAGATTAAATAAATGATAAAGGACATTGTAAAACTCTGTGGTAGCTAGGTTAACATCCGTATAATTATGAAGGAATGACCAATTAACGCTAAGCAGCGCATTATAAAGACCTAGAAAGTCTGCTTTTGAGAAATTATAGCTAGGATGATTTATATTAAGAGGGAATTTATTTCCAGAAGCATATTTCAGCTGCAAAGTAAAACGCAGGGCCGGATGGTAAACATCTTCTTTAAGTAATGGCACCAAGTCACGCGTTACTTCTGTGTGAATATCCGATAAAACAAGATCCAACAGTCTCTTATCTACATTTGTAACAGTGTTATATTGTTTTAGATTGAGTAGATCGGTTAGATTATATATCGATTCTGATTTACTATCATCATAACCATCGTTACTGAAACTTGGGATGTTGAAGTCTCCCATGATTACTATGTTTTTATCTAAGACACTACACACTTGTTCAAGATAATGGGTACACTTAGTAATGTTATTCAGTGTTGTATTGGGCGGAATATATATAACAAAAACATACACTGTATGCGAATCAAAACAACATTTACACCCCAACATATCAATTGATGGAACAATTGCATAAAATTCTGACATATCAATGCGATCAACAGATGTACAGTCTTTAACAGCGAGAAGCGCACCTCCTCCCCATTTTTGTTTAGTTACCTCGTATTGACGATCAGATCTCTCAACTGTGTAGCAGTTAGGAAAATATTCCGCACTGGAAATGGAATTTGTTAAGGCCGTTTCAACAAGTCCTATCAGGTCGTATTCACACATTACTATCGAAGCATTGAAATCGTCAACTTTTGTACGCAAACCACGAACGTTCTGAAAATAGCACTCTAAGTCAATTTTACTGTTGGGCAAAGTTAGTTTAACGAAACTATGGTAGGAACTTCGCGAATATACTTGATCTTGAGATTGGATTCCCCAGCAGCGATGCGTTCATCTAATTGCTTCTTAATTTTGCGGTAGTAATTTATTTGCCTGGGCGTTCGATCAAAGGACAGCGAGATATGTTTATAAAGTGGCATGCTTCTTAATTGACTTGACTTAAGAACATAGTTCCGGACAAATTGTTCCTCTTCCAGGACTACTTTAATGGGACGCGGTCGAGTATTTGTGTGATCAAATCTTCCTAGTCGATGGGTCGAAAATTGAGGGTCATTTATTGCCGGATCAAGTTTGGACAGGGTTTCATTAATTTGTTGCCTATCTTGCTGTATGTTATTGTTTTCCGGTACGCCATAAACGATTAAATTACGTTTTCTTATCTGACGCTGGTTAATCTCGTAAACGACGTCCTCAAAAAGATTATCAGGAATTAGAGCTGGTTCCAGTGAGCGAGCGCTTTTGAGTTCATCAATTTCTGCTTTAAGAGACAGTATTAATTGTTTAATTTCACTTATTTCCGAATTTTCTTTATTGCATTCGTCGCAATGATAAGCTAGCTTACGATTCTTGTTGGAGAAACATTTGAGTTCACTTTGCGATAAACCCGCGCAGGTTGAATGGATATGATTACCGCATTTGTCGCACTTTATCTCCCTATCAGAGTCCAATGCATTATTGCAAATGAAGCATTTATTAATTGTGGGCATATTATTGAATAACAGCAATGAGATTATTGGAGCACAAAATAACACGTCCACACACCAAGAATTACGCACGTTGCTTTGTTAGTCCGTGGTAGCACACATCACCGTAATTTACATAAGGAAATATTAACTGTTTAATTAAGTTTAATTTAATATTTGTAGGTAAAAGATTTTTGGCTTTATATAAACTTCTAAGCTTATGTATGGATCTTCTGCATATAAGTTTAACATGTGGTTCCCACGACAAATTTTGGTCAACAGTCATTCCAAGAACTTTAGCAGAAGTTGCAAAGTCCACAGTGGTACCTCCCACTTCCACCTTTTGCCTCTGTCGTTGAAGAAACTTCTGGATGCCTTTTCGTGTCCCCACTGGTATAACCACTGTTTTGGACGGGTTAAGCTTTAAATTGTTTGTAGTTGCCCACTGAGAGATTGATTGTAGATCGATGTTGAGTTGCTCAATCTCTTGATTAACATTATCGAGGGAAATACTTTTCATTATTTGTACGTCATCGGCATATTGATGTATATCGCTAAATTTGATATATCGATGTAATCCAGATACGTAAATGTTAAATAATAAAGGACCCAAGATGCTTCCTTGTGGAACACCAGACCCAACGCTGAGGGCATCTGATACAATAAAGCTACCTTCCGACTTTATTCTTGTTCTGTGACTCCTGCTAGATAGGTATTGCTTAAACCACGCAACCGATTTATTTGAAAGTCCAAAGGATTTTATTTTTGAGAGTAATAGGGAGTGGCTAATGGTGTCGAAGGCTTTTGAAAAGTCTAATAGGCATAACAGTGTAACTTTTCCACAATCGATGTTATACTTCAGGGTACTTATAGTGTGGAGTAATGCTGTTGTTGTGCTGTATCCTTTTCTAAAGCCCGATTGTTTTTCATAATACAGTTTTCGTTCTTCTAAAAATGTATGCACTTGCTTATGAACTATCTTCTCGACAATCTTTGACATGGCCGGAAGGATGCTAATCGGACGATATTGCTCAATTCTTGCTGCATCTTTAGTTTTAGGAACGGGAGTAATAAGTGCCGATTTCCATATTTTAGGAACAGTGCAACTATATATGGAAAAATTGATAACATCGGTGAGTGCATTTAAACAGAAAGGGATGCATAGCTTGATTTCTTCTATCGACAAGTTGTCAAGTCCTTTTGTTGATTTGGTTAAAGAGAATATTGTCTCTAGTACTTCTTCAGCTCCTACACAACTTAGTTCAAACTTTCTATGAATAGCCGTAGGAGTGTCTTGAATATTGTCTTCATTGGGAATTGATGGATTGCTGTCAGAGTCAGTTTTTCCACTTCCGTTAAAGTATATGTTAAACGAGTTTGGGTCTGTGATTGTATGCGGAATTGCTTTTTGCTGCCTCTCAATCACCTCCATGTTGCGAAGACCTTCCCACATTTTTCGAGGATTCTGGTAATTTTGGTTGACAAATTTGTTGATTTGTTTGAGTTTACTTACGTAAATTGCACGTTTGGTTTTTTTAAGTAGATCTTTGTAAAATAGCCAATCATTGTGGGATTTAGTAACGCGATATCGTTGCGACGCATTATTCTTTCGGCGAATTTTCTCACGTATTTCCTGGTTAATCCATGGATTATATTTTCTTTTTTGTAACTATCGTTTTCATAGGTGCACAAGTATCTAATATATGCTCAATTAAAGTATACAGATGATTTCAGTCTAAGCACCATAAATAATGGTCCTGTATGTGAGAATATTTCAATTTATTAAGTAAATCTGGGGGATTTTTTTTACAAATAAACAAAAAGTTGATTTATAGTACTTGAATTTGTATCTCAGTGTTTGTTTTACCTTTTTAGAAATGTTTGTAATTATGTAGTTTTCGTTTTAATTCTTGTATAAATGTTATCGGTTTTTAATTGTTCAGTATAGATAAGGTATTAGAAGTAGAGTAAAAGTTTTTATCTGTCGTTTGCGAAAATTAATTAACGCACGTGTTTTAGCGCTGTTAAGATATAACAAAGACGAAGATGTTTCGAATTGGAGAGATGTGGACGTTAGAATCGACTTAAAAACGGCTGTTGTCTGCTTTTAGTTTTAATCTGCCCGAAATTGAATTTCCAAAAATTCCAGAACCGCTGAAACGCTTGGATTAAAGATGTCACGGTGTTTCATTACACAAAAATTCCACCACTTGGCATAAGCACTGTTGTACTGGGCCAAGGTTGAATCTGACAGCGAGGACATTAAGGTTTCAATCGCCGGCTCTGGAGCACCTCGTTTTAGCAACGCTTCCCTGATAAAATTCCTGCGACCAGGGTAATTGATGACCATAATGGGTGGCTGCAAAGAAAAGGAGACAATAATAACCGTTCGTCTGGACAAAATTTACAAACAGGCGATCGATATCAACATTTTTTTAAACAAAGGGAACCACGGTTGTGTTTCCCATAAGGGAACTACCACAATCCCCTCCGCCTTGTCGTAAATAACTTTATTTAATACTTTAGAAATTATAGAAAATGGTGGAAAGGCGTAAAAGAATAAATTTGTCCAAGGAACTGTGAACGCATCGACTGATTCAGCCCCCGGGTCGTTTTCCAGGAAAAAAATCGTTTGCATATTGCATTGAGACAAGATGCAAACAGATCTATTTCCGGGGTACCAAATTCAACAACAATATCCCTAAAGGCACTAGTGCTAAGAGAATATTCCGTTTCCACTGACGAGGAACGGGATTCTGCGTCAGCTATACTGTTATCACTGGACTTGATAAAGGAAGCAAACACGAGGATATTCCTGGCTTCACACCAATCCCACAGATCCTTGCTCAAGGTCGCCAAATTGGCATGCTTCACTCCCCCCATTTTATTAATGTATGCAATGGCTGTGGTATTATCGATTCTAAGTAGCACATTTATGTTTTGGCGGTTTTTTACAAAACATTTAAGACCTATAAAAGAGGCCTTAAGTTCTAAGTAATTGATATGACGCGACATATCGTGATGGTTCCAAAACCCGTGGGCACGTTCTTCTCCTGCAACAACACCCCAACCGGTTCTCGATGCGTCAGAAAATATTTCCACATTGTATTTTGGAGGTAAAATCGAATTACTCGTAGTATAAAGATTACTAATCCACCACCGCAGTTCTAAAACTATCGTATGGTTTAGAGCCATCCGCTTATTAAAATCGTAGTCATTTTCCTTGAGGGCGAGATATTTTTGTCGTTCTAGTCCTTTAACGTGCATATAGCCGTATCTAGTGGAAGGACAAACCGAAATTAGTAAACCGATAACTCTGGAAAACTGACGTATTTTAAAGGATTTTTACTTAACAGTTGTTTTATATTTGCAGAAATATTATCAATTTTAGATTGCGGAAGAGAAATTTGTAGGGTTCTACTGTCAAACAGAAATCCTAGATATTTAATTTTTTGAGTTGGTGAAAGTTCACTTTTGCTATAGTTTATGATAAAACCCAGGGAAGTTAATAGGGCCACAGTACACTCTGCATTATTAATGCATTCAGCAAAGGTGTCTCCAATAAGAAGGAAATCGTCTAAATAATTTATAGAGACGAAACTTCTTGACCTGAGATACTGTAGCACTGGTTTCATAACCTTTGTAAAAATGTAAACACATATGGCGAAGTAGTTAATCCAAACGGTAAACAATTGAACTCGAAGAATTCCCCTCTATATGGAAAGCGCAAATACTTTTTAGACCTCTTGGAAATTGGAACAGTAAAAAAGGCTTCTTTCAGATCAATCGATGCGAAATAGCAATTCGGCGTTATCATATTTTTCACTGTCCTAAAATCCTCGAGTTTAAAATGTGGAGATGTTATAAAGAGATTTAATTTTTTTAAATTAAGTACAAAACGTGAAGTACCGTCTGATTTAGGTACTAAAAAATAGGACGACAAAAATTGTCCCCGGCAAGGGTAACATTTAGAAACTGCACCCGACTGAATTAGTTGCGTAATAGCGTGATCATATAGAGGGGAAGGAGGGTTGAGAGCCGGAGGTTTCCGTTGTCTTGGAGGGGTATTGTTGTTAAATTTAATTTCATAACCCCGGACACAATGCAGTACAAATGGATCACGTGTAAGCTGTTTCCAATTCCCTATAAAATGGCGCAGCCTACCACCTTGTGATCCTACCTCTAGTGGCGTTGACGGTTGTTCCGGTAGTATGAGTAGCTGGGCATCTTGCCGCTGGATCTGTAGGTCCGCTGTCTCTGATCTTGATTTTTGGATTTGGCTGACCCCTCCGGTTTCTTGTATTTGGACCTTGGAGGCTGAGCAGATCGGTTTTTTGAAGCACTCGGTTGAGTCTTATCGAATGATTTTGCTGATGCAGCTCTCATTTCCAGACATGATTTTTGCAAGGACTGTGCCGCCTTACAACGATCTGTTAGGTTCTCCCCGAAAAGGTAGGAGTCTAATGGACAATCTTTTGCTACCTTCTGGATAGACGGATTGAGCTTCGGATAAACCATATGTCGCCTGTGTTGCCACAGTAAATAATGCGTCTGACCCATAAACTTTGAGACGTCTACTAAGTCAGGGATTAAGGTATTGATATCTATAATAGACTCCTTATTCAGCAGCTTAGTTAGGACTGGACCAAGAGCAGACAAACCCCTTCCCACGGTTGATTGAAGATGGCTCATATAGGAATCTGATTTGGCCTCATTTGCATAAAGTAGCAACTGTATTTCGGGATTCATGACGGGACTTGCCAGAGCGGCGCAGTTTTCTAGAAGACACCAAGTCTCTTTGGTGTCCTTGTCTAACCCAATTCTCAAAAAGGATGTCCATCTAACCGATAATTCGTCAAGAATCGGTGGGCCGAGTGCTGATTGGACTAGAGGACTCTCTCCTAATAACGTATCGATTTCTGTGTTATTATGAACCTCGGCTTGAGTAAGCTGAACGGGAGATACATTCGAAACGTTATCGGGGTCTGAAGCTGATGAGTCATTGCGTGAAAACTCCGATTGTGACGCTAAAAGGAAAAAGAGAAAAACTGTAACGGTCCATTTTCTATTCCCTTTTTATGGTGAGTATGTGTTAACCCAACCATGAGAAATAGAAGTGTGTAGGTATTTGTGTGTTAAAATAACCTACACTTACAGCACGAAAAACTGCAGTCGATTATGTTTATCACGACTGCATGGTGCGTAATAAAACACAATTTTTTGGAAAACTGGCCACCACGTGTCTAAAACATATATTATTATAAAACCACTTACTTCCTGAATCCGACGACGAGTCATCCTTGAATTTTTCTGCAAATTCACTCATGAAGCGCTGCATTTTTCGCATTTTCTTTTTCAAGACGGACATTTCCGTGTCCGAAGGGCGTTTTTTGTTTTTTCCCATGTTCGGAATATAACGTAACACTGATTTTGGAGGTCGAGGAACGAAGTGAACCGTGCCGCACTAAATGCAAGAATAACGAGTTGGGTAACGAGCCACTGATAAGACGGATAGGACGGATGCTTTGAATGTAGTGCGCCGTGTTGCCAAAATGCAAACTACAATTTGTGCTATAGGCTGCCGGAGTAACGAAGTAAATTAATTTGATTCGCAAAGTGGGATTTAAACCAACAAATTAAGTCTAATTCACCATTTTGTAAGTGTCATTAATTATTAAGTAGTATTGACTGGGGGTCTTTCTTCATTTAAAACGTTTTAGCTGGGAATTGGGATTTACGTTAGTTTAACGCTTGTGAAAAAAATTAGTTTCTTTCTTTGTGTGCAAAAAGATAAACATTTTGAAGATCGCGATAAAATATCGTATCTGTGTGCATAAAGAAATATAAAAAAAACCGCATCTGAATTTTTTGTCATTCCCGGGACGTTTTACGGTAAACCGAAACGAGAGTTAAACATTCTTTCGTTATGAATGTGCACACAAAAAACAGTTAATTAGCTCCGGTTAACTCAAGCTCCGAAGAAACGAAACTTTTCCCGTTAGTTGAATTACTTACACCCAGATTACACCACTCTACAAAAAAAATTTTTTCCTTGTCATAAAATTCATTATCCTCCAAAACAAAGGAAAAACACCCATTTTCCATATATAGTTTGCTTTTGTGGTAGTTATGATAATAATTCATTTTTTTGAGTTATCATATAAAGATGTCAAATATAGTCCAAGAGCCCAGTAGGAAAGTATACCTTGAACGCCCGGACGATTCTAATAATTTTCATAGGATTCACCATAAAAAGTTGCATTAGAATCGACAACGGTGCCGGCGAAAATCCTGCCGAAAGCAGTTAAAAAAAAATTAAATTCGCCCCTTACTTTTGGAAAATCTACTTTATTGTCCCGGACGTTCAGGAAGAGTACTAAAGGGTGCATATGGATGAGTTTTATCGGAAAAAGTCACGGTGCCGGGGCGCAACTTGCCGCAACCCTTGGCACCGCCACTACAAATGGGGTGGTAAATCGTACTAAACTACCTTTTTCTCCCGGACCAAAATGACCTATATGAAATATGTAGCTTGCGATTATACGAATATAAAAAACCAACGGTGCCGACTCTCAGGATGCCGGAAGTCCTCGGCACCGTCGATGGAATCCGAGCGCGCGCCAATAAAAGAAGGGGTAAATTGTAACAATCCAGCTTGTCATTTCGATTTCGCACCAAAAAGTCCTTAATGAAAAATGTAGCTTAAGAGTAGACAAATTATAAGAAATCCGGGGGCGCGCAAAAGCCTTCTTTTCGTATCCGATCACTTCTGTGACTGCAAGAAAAACGATTTAAGTTCATTTTCTCAAACTTTACCACTTTTTTGTTAAAAAAAACAAAAAAAGAACCGACAAAATCGTTTTTAATTCTTAAACATTAATTTTTTTAAAAGTAAAACCCTTGACTTGTGTGGTTATGCCTAAAAGCAACCCAAAAAAGGTAGAAATGATCGAAGTAGACCCGCAATGATTCTTATGCCAAAAATGCTTTTTTGAAATCATTTTATTGTAATTCAATCAGAATCAGAATCGACGCTCAAAGGAGTAGGATCGCCCTCGAACTAAAAGGGTTCTAAAATATCTTTCATTTACCAGCCTCATTTCGTAGGATCGAGCGTGACACATTGTTTTTCTGCCGCATTTTTCCATATAGCAGTAACAAAAATCGTTCGGAGAATCTTTTGTTTTAATGATTTGAAACAAGGGGAAATCGTACACGAATCAAATCCTCTGATTTTCTTGACGAGTTTCTCAGAATCTTTTCTCGTCGCGAAAATTTTGTGGAATATATTTGATCTCGCGGTATCCACGGTGTTACATTTTTTCACCGAATACATAGGTAAGTGACGTGCATTCTTGAAATTTTTCCATTTTCGCACTGTCAATAGGCTCGCGCGCGCTCGGATTCCATCGACGGTGCCGAGGACTTTCGGCATCCTGAGAGTCGGCACCGTTGGTTTTTTATATTCGTATAATCGCAAGCTACATATTTCATATAGGTCATTTTGGTCCGGGAGAAAAAGGTAGATTAGTACGATTTACCACCCCATTTGTAGTGGCGGTGCCAAGGGTTACGGCAAGTTGCGCCCCGGCACCGTGACTTTTTCCGATAAAACTCATCCATATGCACCCTTTAGTACTCTTCCTGAACGTCCGGGACAATAAAGTAGATTTTCCAAAAGTAAGGGGCGAATTTAATTTTTTTTTAACTGCTTTCGGCAGGATTTTCGCCGGCACCGTTGTCGATTCTAATGCAACTTTTTATGGCGAATCCCATTGAAATTATTAGAATCGTCCGGGCGTTCAAGGTATACTTTCCTACTGGGCTCTTGGACTAATAGTTCTAGAGTATTTCAAAACACTGCAAGAAAATGAAGGGGTCTTAACTTTCGCAGTGTCTACAGATATCACTTAAGTGATAAACAACAATTGAATATTTTCTAGAAGACTCATAGAGGTTAAAATGTGGTCAAGAAAGTGTAAATATGATGCTGATGCATATTTTTATATACTTAAGTGGTCTATGGTATATTTATTAAGGTATGAAAGACAATTTTTTTAAATGCCTGTAAAAAGCCGTGTGAAGCCTACGAATCCTATTTTAACTACCCCGTTCGGAATATAGACACCTCCTGTGGCTTGTAGTAACTACAAAAGACCTTTAGAAGGTAAACGATTTTTTACAAAAAAAGAATATGATTATTTTAATTATTTATTATATAAGGGCGTACTCAGAAAAACGAGTAGAACGTTGATATCGAGATATTATGAACTTTGAACAACATATCATGATAAATACAACGAAAGTGTGATGGGGGACTATCTACATTTTGGGTTTAGTGAGAGAAAGTAACACGGAAAAAAGAGTAATAGGATACACTACTATATTTTTTTACTATTTTAAATTTGATATGATAGTAAAGTAAAAGTTAATAAAAGTTCCATACAATTACATTTGTTCCGATTTATCGATAAATAAAAATTTCAATTCTGGAATTTTTAATATACTGGTCAACGGCTCTCCTAGATACAAAAGCAAACTTTTTCAGGCCCTATATATTTTTTTCGTCTAACTATCAATAGATGTATCAAAATTTCATATTCTCTTATCAAAGTCAAAAATCGTGTTGGCCTGTGTTATTAGTGAAATCAGACAACGTTCAAGCGGATCAGGCGTTTTGCGCGAATAACCAGTTACGTAAAGTGACGAAAGTTCCTGCCTAAATAATAAACACCAAAGAAGGCCCACAACGAGTCGTTATCTGAAAAAATTCCATGCCATTTTCGAGGCAGTTCTAAAACATCCCACGGTCAAGAAATCACATCCACTGTCCAGTCAACTCAGGGCAATTTAAGCCGTATCCATTGTACAGAAGGCACCGAGTCCATTTTTCTATCGGTCGGAAAACACCCAAATTGATAAAAAAAATAGGATTAAAGAAAATTAATCGAGATAATAGTAAGAAAAAATGTGTACAAGACTTAGATGCTGGATTGAGGTTTGTTTTGCTTATTATAGTTATTTATGCATCAAGGGCATTAAGGCAATATTTATGCAGAGGGCGACAGAGCCCGAGGGCCTCCGGCCCGAGGGATTGTAAGTCACCCGAGGGTTAAATATTGAGTAATGCCTGAGGTGCATACAACATTTTATTTTTCATCGTTCCTAAGAATGCATTTTCAATATATTTATTTTTCATTTGCCTATTATATGTCATTTATATCTGTCATATGTGATATATACAGCAGTCTATTACGACCTAGGGCATTATGCCCTCAAACGGCCTGTCAAATTGATTGATGGAGTTTTATGTAATAAAAAAGATGCAACTTGATTTGTATGAAGCACTGTTGGGCAAACAATAATCATGATATTTGTATATTTGTGTCAATATCAATCGTTTTGTCTATTAACCAGGCAAATTCCAAACAAATTCAGAGAAATATGTTTCCCGTAAGAAAGGGAAAGGAGCCGTTTCTCTACTAAAGAGTGTTTCGTTATATATATAATCATTTCCTCCAATACCAGCCGGGAATTAATTAATCATTTCAATTAAAAAGAAAGACGCGTCAAATGAGAAGTTGGGATCGAAAAAAACTGAAAGGGGGTCTTCAACCCCTTTAATATGTAAAGATCATTACAGGTCAGAGGATACGAACCTAAGATCATTTCTTAACTTTCTGTCCGTCAATATAAGAAGCTATTAATTTTTCCCAGCGACAGCAAATCATCCCGCAGAGTTTCGTCAAGGAGGGATTTTCGTGCCGGGCAATTTTATCACGCCGGATTTCCACCAGGCAGTCAATTGAGCGGCGGGATATTTTCGGTGGTAGAATGGGCGTAAATCGAGCTTTGTATAGTAAAGTAACGATCGTTAGAAGAAAAGAGAATTATGTTTGTGGAACAGGATGATCTTTAAATGGAATTGTGTGTAAACTTAACGGATTTCTCCCTTACTTGAATTATTTATTATATTATTCAACAGCGTCTCAGTCTTGAAAAAATTTCCACGAAAAAACAAGGTATACGTTCACTATTCAAAGGTTTCTTCCATATTCCTAATCAGTTATTTGAAATGTTATCTGTACTGTACTTTACGTTTACTTTGCATGCTGAATTTATATACCAAATCGCACATACGTAGACGTCAACTTTAGGCAATTGAAGTATAACTTATTAATAAAGAATAACATGGTGTCATATTCCTCCAGATATTAAAAACTAAATTACATCGTAATTATTAAGCGTACATCTTTTTTCTTGGTAATACGATAAAATTGTCTCGCAGTTCGTTAGAGCGTCCTCTTGAAAAGCACTTTAACGCAACAATAAATTTATTGCCACTGATTTAATAAACCTCTTTTGTTCCACGCCATACATCTTTTCGTTTTTATATAAATAAATGATCCAGTTTAATATACCTTCTTCCAAAGGTCTATTCATTCTCACATCCTTCAATGTTCATTATGCCCTAATGAATAGCACGAAATATAATTACGCAACATTTTTCTTCTTTTCTACTCAATTTTCCAATGGATTTAACGAACCTTGCGGGTTTTTAAGGGGAAAAAACGTGAGAT